GGGACAGGCATGTGCATAGCCTGAAGCTTATGTCAGGTTGCTGAATGAATGTAGGTACCTCCAAAGTTAGCTAGCTACTGAACAGGTGTTCCTTGAAATGATTTTTGGAATTAGGCATCTAAATACCATTTTAGGTGGCCAAGGGTGTCTGCCTGGGTCTTGCCCACAGGCATAAGTCCTTGCAGACCTAAGGTTTAATTCTGATGCAGTTGCATTTGCTGGTATGGGCTGTTTGCAAGACTAAGGACTAATCTGTGCAAGTGCAGGTCACAAGAAGCAATAAAGAAGAGTAGGAGCAAGGAAGGAGAAGAGTTGTAAAAATCAAATCAAATGGGTGCTCAATAAAGTCTCTCTCCTTAACAGGATTATAGAGCTCAGTGCTTCTCTGTACAGTTCTGACTGAACTGCTTTCCAGGATTGGGGCCAAAGGCATGAGCATGCCTTAGCTATTGGTTAAAATCTTTAACTCACCTATTGTACTCGCACCTCTTGTGCAAGCTATAGTTTCCATGACCTGATAGAAAAACTGAAACTCTTTAAAAAGGGTGACCCATGGTGAATAGTCCTCCTCCTCATCATCATCATACACAAAATCTCACATGTGAATATGGTAAATGTAAATTCTGCAAACATTAACATAAATATGTGTGCCTTTGACTGTCTGACTAGTATCTAAAATAAGCAGTATATATGTGAACATACACCACTGGATGAATTAAAGTTATTGCTCATGTATAAAATGTTCATATGCATATCGACCCTCCCTGCCAAAAATATCATATTGCATTACATTGTTGCCGATACAGAAAGTTCTCTCTCCCGAAGCAAAATCCTATAAACCAAATGAAATCTGGAAAGGGCCAAGAATTAGAAAAAAAATCTGATTGTCAGATAGGCATATTTCATCCAGAAAATAGTGAAAATAAACTAGCATGTTTTGAAAGAGAAGGTGCATTGCGTATAAACAATCCCAAGTCCTTTAATAGAATCATATTCCTGTAAAAAGGGAAAATGTAGCCCCTGGGAAAACCCTTTTTTGACATATGCTTTTTATGTTCAAATGCATTAATGGGACTGCTATGCTGTGAGTCATCTAGCAGTTTCATGTGTTTCTTAAAATACACTGAAAGTAGCTGAAGGCATGTATCGTTCTGCAGTGTGGTTATCTATTAAGAACCTCAAAAAATACCTGCATTCTTAGACTCACAGAGATTTATGAGACAGAAGAGACCTTAGCTAGTTCTTCTGCATCATTCTGTTTAAATAGACCAAGCTCAGTAAAAATCTAAAATATTACACTAATTGAACAAACAGCCTAGCAGATGATAGGCACATTGTTTTGCTATCCAAACCTCCCCGCTAGATTACAAAGAATTTGCATATGTGTAAATAGCACATTTAGATTTTTCTTCCTGCTGAAGAATTCTGTCAAAACTACAGCTGGCTAAACTCTCTGATGAGAACATATGTTGCTCCTTTTTTTCATTTGCAAATAATTTGTGAACTAATCCTATTCGGAAAATCTATTTATTAATAATTTACAGCCGCAATTTTCAGCCTGCATGTGGTTTGCAAGCTGTTCAGTTTGGGTATTTGCTATTCACAGGGTGCAACTGGTCACTTGGGATAGGAAGAAACATTGCATTTGCCTCTGGGCAAGTTGTGCCTGTGTTTGTCCTGGAACAGATATATCCCAAGACTGGCATCTCACTTCCAATCAGGTTTTAGTAAGCAGCTGAATGCACTGCCACTTTTCTGCCTTTGATTCAGTGATGCAATCCCAGGATAACCATTTAAATGCATTTTGCAATGTCCCAGTATAAACTGTTAATATTTCTTGTCCCATGCACATTTTTAGGATTTATCCTGGGACAATGAGCATGGACTTCTCAACGACTGCATGCAGCCCCGGGTTAAAATACCTTATCCTGGGACAAATGCAACATCTGTTTGTAGCCTTACTTTGTAAGCTGTAGTTTCCATGACCTGACAGAAAAACTGAAACTCTTTAAAAAGAATAATCCACAGTGAATAGTCCTCATCATTTTGGGGTTTTTTGTTGTTCTCCCGCCCTGGCGGGGGGTCGGGCTAGAAGATCTACTAGGTCCCTTCCGACCCTTAATCTATGAATCTATGAATCATACACAAAATCCCATGTACTCACATATGAATACTGTAAATGTAAATTCTGCAAACATTAACATAAACAATACTAACTGGTTTTCATGAGTATTTGCAAACAGTGAATAGCAGTGAGAAGAAACACTAATACTGAATAGTGGTTTGGAAATGCAACTGAGGAGAAATGTATTACCGTGTAGCGGTAAGCACTGGCCACTCCCTACCTGAATTATCTTTTTCTACCATCACAGCCAGGCACAAAATCTCCATAGTGCACATCTGGAGCCTCCTTACTAAAAGTAAATAAATAATTCTCCCATTGTTGATGAAAATAGTTCATTGGGGGAAAAGTAAGAACAGAAGCAATTAGGAAAAATAAGAGGCCAAGTGGAACAGCCAAAAGGAGAAAAAGATTGAGTGTAGGTGGAAAAAGTTCCAGTTCTCCAAGCACCGTCTGTACAGATCTGCATTCTTGGTGATACATGTCACATACCACTGATTTCTATTGGGGGTTTATGTGAGGGGATGTAGATGGGGGTGTGCTACCTGTTTCTTGTGCTCCATACCTTCAACCTGAGCAAAAACTCAGATGTGTGCATTGGTCCATTTTTAGAGAAATTGCTTGATTATTTTTAATCATTATAACAGGTTTGGGGAGTTTCAACTTTTTGGGATGTCTGGCCATGGTCTGGCCATGCCAGGGTTTTTCTTTTGTTCTGCAGCCCTTGGTTCAGGTTGCCTTCCATTGTTGGGCTTCAGGGTAGCACAAACCAAATCCACCAACATTGAACTATTTCCTCTATACCATATAATGATGTCTGTGATAGACAAACACACAATGCTACACCCACACAGGCACATCAGTCCTTGCTGCCATATTAGGCACCACTGGGAGCTTAAAAATATTCACCCAGCTGCTGCCTAACTCTGGAATCGCCCAAATTCTGCTCTTAAAACTGCTTCAGGCACCTACATTTAATTGAAGTGGGGACTGGAATTCTAGTCTCCCAGCTGAAGGCTTGAAATCATGAGACTATGATGCTCTTCCTGGCCCAAAGAATATTTAAGTAATAAATATGACAAAGTGGAACAACTTCAGCCAACAAGAATGAGAGCACTTCCCACTGGAGTCCCTGCAAGCTCTCATGGGAGCTGTGGCTTCAAATCCTGACACCACAGCAGGAGAAGCAGGATCTGTGTTTCTTGTCCTCTGCTGAGTGCTCTAGCCATACAATAAAAGGGAGAGGGGTGTGAAAGGCCTGACCCAGCTGAAGCACCTAACACCACAAAGATATCACAGCTGAGAATCCCAAGTGGCAGGAGACATGTCTGTCAACCCTGGGGTGGAATCATAGTACTGTGATATTGTGCCTCACAGTCCTTAAAACCATATGTGGATTTAGCCTTCAGTCATAGGGATCAGGAATAAGGCAGGGTAGATTTGCATTTTATAAACTAACCAAGGTGTGGGGAGGTGTAGCACAACTTTTTGTGAGCTGAAGCTCACTTCATCAGACACTGAGCAGTGATGTGGGAGCCCAGGGTTCTTTGCTTTCTCCAAGAACCATTTTTGTGTCTGGAAAGCTTTTTTCCAAGACCATCTATTGAACACCATTTTGCAGGTCAACTCTTCCAGTCCCAAGTGACCAAGGACTGGAGATGACAAGGTCTCCATCCCAGGCCCCCAAATCCACAGATGTACTTTCCAAGGATGGAGAAGCCTAGAAACTTAAGGACTTGATTATGCTGTCTCATAAGGCACAGGCATTTGACATTTCTGGCATCATTTCCCAGCTGCATACACTGCTGAAGAATAAAACATTGCAGCCACTTTTAGAGACACTGCATTTTCTCACGTGCTGGTTCAGTTATGACTGGCGTATTTCCACCTCAAACTTCCAGACTTGCACTCGCAAGTCAGGTAGTAAAAGGAATGAGTACTTAAATGTGGCACCTGCAAATTCATGCTGCAAGTACAAGTTCCGTAAGTAAGAACTGCACCTGTAAAAATGGATGGCCAGGTCTCAGCTTGTATCAGAAATGAAGCAGTGCTAACCTAATGTGTCGCTGTGCTCAGAACTGTGACTAGAATGAGAGCCGCATGTAATGCCACAGTGGGAGGAAGTGCAGTGACACTCTCATCCCCAGCTGCACGTGCTGCTGTGAGGACGAAACGGCCACCACCTTAAAGGCCTCGGCGCAGGCAGGCCAGGAACGTGAAGGAGAAGTCACCCCGGCAGCCAACTGGGTTCAGTTCTGCCAGACGGTCTCTGCGAAGCCCTACAGCAGTGGGGACCAGCGGTTTTGGGAGATGCACTGTAGTTTAATCCTGTAGTCTCTCTGCTGCCACTTGAATGCCTGTACCTGATCTGCAGCTCTGTTTTCTACTCCCTGCCAGTCCGATCTGCTGTTCTGCTTTCTGTTCCCTACTCCGTGCTCCCTGCCTCATCTGCGACTCTGCTTTCTGCTCTCAGCCCTGTGCTCCCTGCCCCATCTGTTTCTCTGCTTTCTGCTCCCGTCCTCATCTGCTCTGCACTCTGCACCCCTTCCAATCTACTGCTCCGCTTTCTGCTCCCAGCCCCGCGCTCATCCTCTGCCGCTCGGCCGCCTGTGTCGCATCCTCTCTGCCCCATCCGCTCTTATACTCTTTCTGCTACTCTGCTTTCCGCTCCGGCTGTTTCCCTTTCCTCCTCCCGCTCCGGGGCGGGGCCACAGGCCGGGGGCGGGGCC